TGCAATTAAAATCTTTGGCAGCGCAGAAACAAGAGTGATGGTAGAGTCTATCTTCAAGCTGTAGCTAGTACTAAAACTCTCACCTGCAAAATAATACACTAGAGGAAGGGTAATGAACTACAATAGAAGGCTGGAAATCTGTAACTCAAATAACCACCAATAAATTACTAATCTGGTTCCATGAATGAAGTCATCATGGAGATAATACCCTGTCTTATAACACAGAACCCTGTCTGATGACACAGAAAAGACCTGCTTCAAACCCAAATTCTAACTTCCACTATAATCTCAGCTTCCTGACACCTGTTGGGACCATCTACTGCTTGTAGTGAGTATGATATCAACAGCAAATTCCCTGTTGTAAGCCTTGGTTGATACCAGGTATCTGCCTGACACACAGTTCTAGCTCCACTGAGGGCTAGAGGGACTAAAAGAATCAAAGGAAGATTACTCTAAAAGGATTTCTGGTGATCTTCAGTCCAACCTACCACTCACTACCTTTCACCAACACTAGATCTGGTCAGCCTCAACTGSCTAGCCAAGCCTTAGAAACACCTAGGGATGTATTCTCTGCCACCTCAGTGCTTGCTATATTTTTACTTCTATGTTATGATTTCTTGTGTTCCTGAAAAAAAAAATTAYAACCTTCTAGAAAACAGCTTTACCTCTGGGATGTCTTAGCAGTCCAGTTATTATACAGAATTATCTGAGTTACTCTATCTGACAGTTTGACTATCTTCATAACAGAAGAACACAAAGGGTGTTTAAAAGTACTTCTCAACCAGAAGCTTTCAATTTTATAGTAMTTGTTATTGGGGAACTAAATTCTTCTCTTTTATACTCACAGCAACTATGGCTATTGTCTACACAAGATTGTTTCCAGGTCTCTGAATATGTTCTGGCCATGCCCTGGGTTTTGCTGGGATGAAGCAAGAGTTCATCTTTCTGTGACTGGTATTTACAAAAACACCTCGAGGTGTCCAGGCTTTATACTGAAGAAGACCCAACAGTTCCCAGTACATGGTCTGTTATAGAAGGAAGTTCATTGGGAAGRGCAKTGCCAGCAGCTCAGGGAGTGCTCCTGCCCCTCTGCCCAGCCCTGTGAGGCACATCTGGAGAGCTGWGTCCAGTCCTGGGCTCCTCAGGACAGGAGGGACAGGGAGCTCCTRGAGCGGGGCCAGCGGGGGCTGCGGAGATGATTCAGGGCCTGGAGCATCTGTGCCAGGGAAAGGCTGAGGGAGCTGGGGCTGTTCAGCCTCGAGAGGAGCCCCAGCTGAGAGGGGCCCTGAGCCCTGTGTGTCCCTGTGTGCAGGGAGGGCTCCCAGCAGGGCCCAGGCTCTGCTCCGGGVGGCCCAGCAATGGCCCCAGAGGGACGGGCAGGAACTGATGCCCAGGGGGTTCCACCTGGACAGGAGGAGGAACTTCTGCCCTGGGCAGTGACCGAGCACGGAACAGAGACCAGAGAGGGTGTGGAGTCTCCTCACTGGGGATATTCCAGAGCCCTCTGGACACAATCCTGTGCTGTGAGCTCTGGGATGGCCCTGCTGGAGCAGGGGATTGGACCAGGTGTGACCCACTGTGGTCCCTTCCAGCCTGAACCATTCTGGAATTCAGAGATTCTGTGAAGCATTTTGCATCCTTACTGATGCCCTGCTCATCCAGATCTGGCAGCCAGGCCTGTATGGTGCACTGTGAGAAACATCATACACCCTAGGCCAAAAAGAGTGATCCTTTGSATTCAGCATTGCTCTGGACACATTTAAAATCTTGCCATTCCCAAGTTTCTCATGAAGCTTCTAATGTTTTTACACATCTCTTCCTTACCATGTATCCTTATAATCCACGGTCCAAGATATCAGTATTGCAAGTATTAATTCCTAAGCAGCTGCTTTTGAGCATTGCAACTTGCACTTCAAAATGGCTGCTCCCTGCTCAATGATAATACTGGTGTAATTAACAATTAAGACAGTTAAATTTTCGTTAGTGAGTAGAGGCTCAATCTGGCACTTGAATTCTTGCCCTTGGAGCCCAGGAGAGTTAGAGCATTGGTGTGTGAGACAAAACACTGTCCCATTTCTTCTATGCAATTAAAAAGAACCACTTAGTTTTAGATAATAATAGAGGACAAAATACCAAGTGCTATTAAGGATATTTAAACACACACAAGTGGTACATATTTCAAAAACCTTAGAGACTGGCAAGTTAAGCAAACCAATCAAGTTCTCATGGTTTAATTTGCAACTAAAACATTTTAAATAGGAGTAAAATCCAATGTGTACAGGTTATATATAAAAATGCAGATGRTTATAGGCAAAAGACACTAAGTTAATGCTGCTTGACATTTACTCAGACCTTACTCCAGTGTTCTCATAGTACTTTGCAACTATTGATTAACCTGTTTTATGAATGAGGGATATCTCTAGCTTCTGATTATTTCCACAAAGGGTGATGTAAGACAGAAGGTCAGTGCTGTAACCAGAACTAGAAAGGCAGGATCTGGGGCCCCAGTTTATTAATCTCCAGATAGCTCACCTTCTCGTTAAACAGTCATGTATGGACAGCATACATAAATTCTTCAATTAAACAAATACATTCAAAAAGCTAGGTGTGTATTTTCAAGGCAGAAAATTATTTTAGGATACTAGACAAGCAACTGCATGAAATTTAACTTTCTTCTTGAGTTCTGAGATCTTAACTTTAAATTTTGAAGACTTGACTATGTTCATAAGTATTTTCTAAAGGACTAGTTTCATAATGCAAGGTCAAAAAAAAAAAAAGATTGTCCATGTAAAGTTCAGCAAATTTTGGTATTTTTTTAGAGATTACGTTATGATGATGTAGAAAGAAACTGAGATTGATTTCCCAGAAAAAAAAACCTGTGACAAACCTTTTAGGCAGAATGAAGTAGAAACAGAAATGCCAAAGAACAGTAGTGCTTAGTAGGCACAGGAGTGTACTACAGCCTGAAATCTTGCAAACAGCCAGTTTACCCCCCACAAAATAGCTGTTTGTCTTCCCAGGTTTTCTGGTTGGTGAGCTGGACAGTGGGACACTGATACTTCTGCATCTGCTGCCCTCATAGATTAATGAAAGGCTGTTAATTAATGAAATTATGGTTCCCCACTGGACATGTCATCAATTGGTGTGGAAACTTCTTTCAGCATTGCTAAACAGCAAGCAAAAAAAAAAAAAAAAAAAGTTTGGCTGGAAGACTTTCATCAAAACTTTCTCCCATATGGAGAAAGCAAATATCTTCAGAAGACCTTGCAACACTCAACTTCCTGGACCATAAGGGGGTGGGAGATGAGTTAGCAATACTGTGAAACATGGAGTGTGGAAGTGCAGCTATAACCTGGAGCTGCATAAAAGATGGAAAGCAATGTTTTTAACTTGCAGAATAGGTCAGGCAGAGAACTCAGACAATTTGTGCAGAGTGACAGGATTTGCGCACAAAGGGAATGTGGTAGGTCTGATTTTACAGAAATATTATTTATGGATTAGTGGGTGGACAAAAGTTTTCTCAACAGGTTTTTAGTGATCTAATCACACACAGAAAGTTCAAATGGCTCTCTTTAGCCTCTATATAGTGCTACTTTCTAGATTGTGTTGTGCTTTAATTTAATCTCTCTAGACTTCCATGTGACTTTAGGTACTTTATTGCCTGGAAAATTATTAGTGACACTGGAAATATGGTGCCTGCTTACGAACACTGCAATGAAGATAGGAGGTTGCCAGGCACACTGTAAACACAGCATAATTACAGTATTTACATTTGAACATCAAAATGGAAAAGATGCCAAGTGGCATTTCTCAGAAGTTAATATTGGGACTGATTCAATCTAACATTTTCCCAAATAATTTGGAAAACTAAGTAAATTGTGCATTGCCTGCATACATTGTGCACACAAGAGGAAGATGAACTACAACATAGCAGGTGAGTAGGTTGAAAAAATCACAGAAATATCTGGAGATCTAAGAGGGAGAGAGAGAAGAGTGCATTTCAGAGGAAACTAATCTAGACAAATGTAGAATAATAAGCTTAGACAAAATTAACATCCATCTCAAGTAACCAAATGGGAAAAAGCCAATTTTCATTTAAAAAAAATCCAAGAGATTTCACAGTTTATTCACACTGAAAATTCGCATTGGGGTATATGCATCAGGTTTGACAACTTGTTTGCTACATTTCAGCCTGATGTGATTTTAAAAGGAAGAATAATAGATTCCCTTAAAAACCTGCCTTTTAAAATACATTTTTACTTATTTTAAACATATACCAAATGCTCACAAAAGACTCAATTTACAGGCCTGTYGTGAGACATAACGAACAGTAATATAACATTAGTGAGAGACACAGAAGAAGCACACACAAGGTYCTGGGTGAAAGTCAGGAAGCCAAAGTCCATCTGCCACCAATTCTGTCAAGGGGGTTCTAAGTGTTCACTACGCAGTAAAGCAAAATCCATGAAATATTAAGCTGCCACTCATTTGTTGACTTTAGTTTAGAAGCTCAGCTAGACCTTGGGGAAAGCTATTGCTTTATAAAAGAAAGTAAGATTCTGAGGGATATTAAATAAAAGACCTTCACAGATGCTGAAATAAGCTCACTGTGTTACATGACTGCTGTATGTACTAATGAACCAAAATATTATCTGTAGGATGGAAATTGTCRAAACAATGTATCCTTGCAATAAAATTAATTAGATAAACTCACCAAGTATAGAAAACTTATTTTATGACACAAAAGCCCCTAGATGGCCTGTTAGACAACTGCTCCTGACTGCTTTTTCCCCATCATTATTTGGTTAACCACACCCACAGTACAGCACATTATTTTGTCACAGGAATGATTCATTACAAGAAAATACAAAAACTTTATCAAAGAGAGTATTACTTTTCTTCCTAACGCAGCAATCCAAATACAGCTGAGGCAGACAAAATGGCTGATGTGATAGCAATCAACAATATTTTGTTTTATGTATGCTTAAAAACCTGCTTACCAAGGGGAGCCATATATTCTGAATCCCCTCACCGTCACTTCAGAGTCTTGAAGATAGATGCAGTTTGTTAGAAGAGACTGTACATTTTCATAGCTCTCTGGCTTCAGCTTAGAAACAGAGGGGAAATAGTAAAAGTCCTGCTTGATTAAGTCAGCCATGAATTCCTGGTCAAAGGTCAATTCATGATTTCCTGCTATCACAATCTTGTATTCATAGGGCAGGCTACCTAAAACAGCGAAAAACAAACAAATTACTTGTTTTATGGAAAATCTGATAAAAGAAAACAGATAGACAAACTGTTATCGATTCCTATAATATGCTCACATATTTGAAACAATCAAGCCTACCTCTACCGCATGTTATTATAATTCCTTGTGATTTCAGGTAAATGACATTACTGTCTTTTTCATGACACACTATGATTTAGCATGCTTAGCATTAATGTGTTGAAATTACTTTCAACTCATCAACCTTAAAAACCAGTCTGCAGACTTCTGCTCTACTATTTACTTCTAGTTAATTGCCATTTGTGCTGCAAGTATCATTTACTGTGACAGTGATGATAACTCTTTGACAGAAATTAGGGTTCAAAGAAGATCAGCCGTAATGCTTCATAAAATCATGTCAGCTCTCTTCTCYGAGAGCTGAGGTCTTTGTCAGCCTGTACTGACGAGGTCTAACACTCAGAACTTGGGTCAGCCAGAGGGGTCTGTGCCCCTGACATTAATACCAAGCCTTCAAGCAAGGCAGAGATTCAGTTTAGCTGTCAAAAATCCACATCCCACAGTGAAATCTCACTGTTTGCCTCTGTCTCATGGTTTTTTCCTGCTCCATTTTCTCAGTGACTTCCTTAGCTCCGTGGACTATAATTTAAAGTGACTCATGTTCAAGAATATTTTACAACCCGTATTTAGTGAAAAACCTTAGAACAACCTCCTGATGAAGGCAAGAATATATATGCCCACACACGTGGGCTCTTCCTGAGAGCAGCACTGAAACAGAAACTTTCCACCTGACTCCGCATTTGGTTATTCACTGGATTCTGCCCCTGAGAGCTGGCACTGCCTGTCTGAAAGAGCTCAGCACAAAACTTCTAAGTACATCTGGGAGGAAACAAAGACAGAAATTGAGCAAAGCTGCATTCATTAGCTTTGTTTCTGCACTACTAATTTGTACCAGGATGAAGAYGGTCAGAGGAGGAGGTTGGGACCAGAAAGAAATGTTTCACTGAAAATTAAACTCATCTTGCATAACAGCAATCTTGTGGGGTTTTAATTTTAGAAATGYATTGCTGATAACACAGAAATCCTTAGCAATGGCCCAAGCTTAGCCTAGAGGCAGGCTATTTAGAGAATGCAAAAAAACAGTTCATATGCAGTGGCAAAAGTTGGCACGAGCAGGACTTCGGAATAAAATGCAACAGTGTGATTCAGAGTTTTGGAAACAGAAGACAGAACAGTGGCAGCCTAAGGGAGATGTCACGAGACTGGACTTTGCCAAATGAAGGTATCAGTGATTCTGAAGTATATGTTTCAGACACTTGTAACATCTGTATTAGGAAAGCAGATTATAAAGGTTCCACACTTTGCTATGGAGCAGATCCATATGTATCTTTAGAATAGTTAACAAAAACTCTTTTCAGATATTTATAATTACATGTTAAATGTTGAAGATTCAATAATTTACCAGAAAGACTTCTCCTTTTTGCCTCTGAAACACTTAGCATTTTGCAGATGTCTACCCAACCTGTGCAGGTTGGGTACACATACACATGTGTGTATGTACACATACACACAAGTTAAAAACGTTATTTATATGCTGTAATATGTATTAAGGGCATGTACAGACCTTAAAGGAATAAAGAAATCCTGTATACCACAATATTGTTACCAAYTCCATTTCTATTCTGTTTGGTAATTCTTTTCCAGCTCATCTGATCCATCCATCTAGCAGCCAAGAACCTGTATGAGCTGGTTATAGTTGTTGCTTCCACTAATGTATTTATGTCATGTTGCTGTCTGTGGGTGTTACTTAGGCAAATTAGCAAATTACTCTAAATGTACAGTTACATTTATTATAGTGCCGGCCAGAAGCACTGCTGTAGTTACAGGTCTGTCAGCTTTTCAATTAACAACTGCATTTTTGATGAGTATGCAGTTCAGTTGCTTKGTTTTTTCCTTTCATTTCACACCGGGCTATAGGTAAAGTATTTCCCTTTCTTTGTCTCCTCAACTATACTCTTTACCCTTTAAATCTTAATTTTTCTGACTAAGAGAGTATTTTCTGTTGTTTGTTCATAAATTTATCAATACTTTGTTCAAACCCTTGTTCCTTTCTTTAGAATGTGCTTTGTTTTTGACTCCAAGTGCTCTTGAAGCACAAAGTCAGACATAGGTATAAATCTTTGAAACCTTGTTCCTGCCTGGCCACCGTTGTCATGAAGTTCATGTGTAAGGAACAGAATTCTGTACAATTTGTAGCTCTGGCTTCCTTGGCTAGGAGCAAGACATCCCCAAGAGTACATAATCTAATAGCTGTTGTGTRACTGTATTCCTACATATAACCCTAGAACAAGCACTTTTCCATTTTTTATCCCAACAGCTCTTGATCACAGATAATTCAAACACTTCCAGGTTAGTCAGTTATTCCCACACCTACACCTAGGGTAGAGTAACTTCACCCAAGAAGATTTTGCAGTGATTTTTTGGTGGCCATGGCAGCCAAGCACACCCTGGGCTGTGTTAGTTACCAGTGAAACCAACTGATCAAAGGGAGTGATTCCTCTGGAGTGCTGTGTCCAATTCRGGGCYCTTCAGTGAAAGAAAAACTACTGACAAACTGAGGCAAGTCCATCAGAGAGCTGCCAAGGTCGTGGGGACAAGGGGAGAGACTGAGATCCAAGTCTGCTCACAGCCAAAGAAGGTGCAGGACAAACCCTACCACTGCTCTGCAACTACCTGAGCCTAGGAGAAAGACAAGAGCTAGTTCTTCTCAGAGGTGCACAATAAGCAGCAACAGACTCAAGTGGGAATACGCTACAAGGAAAGGATTTTCCCATGGGTATGGTAAAAAAGGGAAATAAGTGCCCTGAGCAGCTGGGAAATCTCATCCATTGAAGACAGAGTTCTCTGGCCAAGGTGTCAGCAGTCTGCCCTCTAACCACGCCTGCTTTGAGGAGGAGGCCRGACTCAATGCCCTCCAGAGACCCCCTCCATCCTGCCTGATTCTACAGGTTCCTGTCAATCTACATTGGAAAACAAGAACTTTAAAGAGCCTGCAGTGCTAAAAGAAATCAAAAACTCATTCTGTGTTGTGATTGTAATGGAATAAATGGATGGCAGACAGGCAATTTAACAGGACCAGAGAGTATGTTCCATTAACTTTGGTGCAAGTTTCTCATACTATCCATTTAGCAGAGGAGAAGGATGAAATCCCCAACTGATAACCAATTAACATTTGATGCTAGCATATGGCTTTGCTGGTGGGCAGGTAGCAAACTTGGTATTAATASAGAAGCTCTGTGTATACAATGATATTAAAGAAAATTTATGGCTGTCACAGGAATTCTGCACACATATCCAGGACAAAATTAATTCCCCGAAAAAATTAAGGCAGGAAGCATGTAAGAAACAGATCTGCCCTTCAGGAGTGCCAAGAAACACAAGAAGAACATATGCTATGGGAGTCAAAGATGTAATTTCAAACAAAAAAAAAAAAAAAGTTATGAATCAGGGGGGAAGTTACATTTTTTTTTGTCTGATGTCTTCTTTTGACCAGCCAAAATAAAACAAGTGTTTTTGTTCAATGTCCAGTGATCCTCCTGTTCTTGACACCTGAGAAGATTCTGCTAAAATACGCCTCTAATCTGGACATAAACTGCAACYAGAATTGGTTGGAAAAATTTTACTTAAGTATTTTTCTATATTAAAATTCCACTTGGATGGAATGGGATATATTTGGAAATTCACAGTCTTCCTGACATTACCAAGAAAACAAAATGAAGCAAAATGTCCATTTAAAATATTTTGGGGTGAATAAAAATTTCATTTCTAGGAAAAATTTCACTGTTTTTTGTAAAGGAAGATTGTTTCCCTCCTCATAATGATTAACTTGTAGGAAACAAAGATTATTTTCCTCCATAATCAACTTCTATCCACTTCATCCTATTTGGATTTGAAATCAACAGAAACATTTACAAATCAAAATTCCATTCAGAAACACACTGGCTCAAATTCAGCCCTGGGCTTCAGAGCTTCCTCTTTCAGGCCACACTGAAATTTGCCTTCTGCCAATTTGGAATGGGGCTCCAAGCCACCATCCACTCTGCCAGCCTCTGTTTTAATGTGGGATAAGAGATTTCTCCCATCCTTTTCCTTCTTCTCTGCAATATGGCTCTTCATCTTTCCTGCCTTATTTTCCCCTTTTCACTTTGTAATCTCCTCTTACAGGCAGTAAAATGCTGGAGATGCATTTTCTTCAAGTTAATTTAGCAGCTTTAACAAAAGAGATCTTTTTTCTTGGGAAACATAAATCTTGTGGAAGTGCAATGCTTCTGTATGCTTGTCACTCAATATCCATCTGAAACTGCCCAATGGATTCAGAAGCCATTTATTATACTTAGCAGAGGAGTCAAGACTACTCAAAGGTGAATAAGTTCCATTGACTTTCCTGAAAGTGTCTAAGGTGACTGATGCTCAGTCTGAAGGAGAAGTTTCAAAGCAATGAGGCAACTTGGAACCCACAGCAGGTCTACAAGAAAAGATCCAAGAAGTCAGGCAGCAGTGGCTCTGCTCCCAGAACAACTCATCACACAAAAAACTCGGCCCTAAATTTCCTACATMAATCTAATCTCTTATTATTTGAGATTATTTCATTATCAAAAAGCCCAGGATATCCTATTTAATTTATATATAGCCAGATATATTACTGACTTCTTCACTACATCCACAGAGTTTTTGTTAGGTTACAGCAAACCTTCCCCAGAAAGTTTCTTAGCCTTCATTTGTTCAGTATAAGAATGTGACAGCAGTTCTGGTAATGTAATATGTAAAGGAATATATATATTCTTTAGCTAGGAACATCTTTGTTTATTCCTTTCATTACTGCAGATTACTAATTAAGAAAATCAACCGAACATCTAATTTTTGCATGTTTATATACCAATTACAAAATTATTGCAGCAATTTTTAACTTCCAAACTCCAGTAGGTTCTTTTTATGGAGAACA